GACGACGTCAACGCCAAGTTTGCATGTATAATATTTATAGGCAGTTCTGTGTAGTGTAAACGCTGTTTTTGCTTCTGCAGGTGATCAACTTGAATGGCTGTCAACATCTGTACGACGTCTCCGATATACCTGGATTACAATGCGACATGTCCGGTTGCTCCTGAGGTTTGTGAATCGATAGCCGTGGCGCTTGCCGATTACTACGGAAACCCAAGCAGCTTGTACGACATTGGTGCGAGGTCTCCGGTTGTCTTACACGACACTGACTACCACTATCTTAGGGGTCGCTGCCAAAGAGGCCATTCAAAGTGCGAGAATTCAAGTGGCGCTGATGATCGGCGCCCGCAACGTGTCAGGTATTGTGTTTATATTTGTACATCTGTTTATGCGCGTATGTTTACTTTCTCTTTTATCTTCTTACCTTGTGTTTCATCGAAATCCTGTCACCTGCTTGGTTGATAATGGTTCACTGATACAATGTTATTTATAGACATTATCTTCACTTCCAGCGGAACCGAAGTAATGCATACGACATGGATTTTTTGCTGTTCTTGTTAAGCACTGTTTGTTGTAGGCCAATCACATGGCCATATTGTCTGCAATTGCGAACTTCAATATCATGAATCGCAGACGAGAGACGTCACGTATACCTCATGTTATCGCGTCGTCAATCGAGCACCCGTCGGTTAAGAAGCATCTGCAACGCCTAATGGCTGCACGAGTCTGCTGTAATATATTTTATTGAGCGCATGGCTGTAGCAAACCAGCTTTCAAGCTGTTTGGCTACTCATTTGTTTATGGATGCATAGGGAGACTTCGTCGAAGTCAAGCAGACTTCCTGTTTCGTCCAAAGTTTTGTTCTGCGTGCTGTCTTGAGCAGTGCTGCTGATTCCACTTGCCTTGTCTGCCAGTTTCCTTAACGTTAAGGTTGCGTTTGATTCATTACATCATTCGACTATGCACAAAACTTTGAAGTGGTATGTGAGACCTGAACGTATCGTTTCGATATGTACAGGGACGAAATCAACGGAGAGCGAAGTGATTCCCTATTAACTGTTGAGTTTGCCAGAGAGATACGATTTAGCCTTTGCTATTTAAAATTTTTCTCGACTTTTTTCACTGAAACATTGCTGACCGTTGCAAAGGCGACCGTGTCAACCTAGAAAGGAGGTGCAATTCGGGATATCCGGCTAGATATTTTGCTGACGTGGAGTACGCAAATGATACTGTTTCGGTCAGCAGTACAGGGAGCGGGCTCCATCACTTTACCGTTGCTGTATGCAACACGGCTGCCAAAGCCGATGTCTTCCTTAACGCCCTGAAGTCAGAAGTTATGAGGAACCCCTCCGGCACAGTTTGTCTACAAATTGGAATTGTAAAGGGAAGCACTTGAGGACGCTGGCCACTTTAAGTATCTCAGCTGGATCGCCTCCAATGATGGCGCCATCAAGTTAGGATTAAATGAGATCAAGTACGATTGCCCTAGTCTTGAGTATCAATATTTGGCCTGAAGAACCAGTATTTGTTGTCTTAAAACTCTGTCTGTGCCTTGATTCGATCAACTCCGTATTTTTGTATGGCATAGAGAGGTTGTTTTAAAAGCATCAAGATCAATGGAGCAGCTGTATGCAGCATTGTCGACATCGACGCATAATGATGGTTAAATGGCAGGGCCACGTAAGGAGTTGCTTTTCTCTGCCGGGCACAGTAAATGCGGATAGTAAAAAAATATGTTAGTTCTGTTGGACAGACTGGTTGCACACAAACCATTTGTGCTAGCCCATGAGATTCTCGTCTTGGAGTCAAAACGCGGCAGATGTCGATACTGCAGTCAGTTCCTTATAAGAAAAGTTTTTTTGAACCTACAAATACAGCTGCCATCAAAAACTATAGACGCTCTCCTTATGCAAACGCAATCCATTGAGACATCACGCATGGGAGGCAACTTGGAGTACCATATATCACATACCATATATCTAATCCAGCTTAGGATTTACATTACATATTCGTGTTATATAAGGGTTGTGGTACAGATGTTCAGAAATAAAGGTCACCGGTAATGCTGCAGTTCTTGGGGCACTAGAAAAGTCTATGCCAAGAAGTAAAATGTAGTGTGTAATGTGGTTTTTTTCAGGTCGCAACATGAATGTTCGATTTTATAATGCAAAATGAACCACAGAGATTCGTTTACGCTAATCCCCCCAGCTTCTCGATGTCTTCAACGCAGCATGCAATTTTTGGTGCCCAACTGGAGAAAGAATTTTAATCGTTATAATCCCTATGACCGAAGAGATTTCGTTTCCTCTCAGGGTATCAACAAAGCATTATACGAAAGGAACATAAAGTACAGTAGTGTCAAATAAATTAATTCTGGCGATTGGTGAAAAATAAAAATAGGAACGTTTCCAACCGTTGAGATGTTCTTTACAGCTTTATCATTGAGCCATTTCTGGCGCGTTTCTTTTCAGGAGGTTGATGGTGCGGCACTTATCTCTATTTTCATTCCATCAATCAATAGTGCCTTATTTTCTTGGTGGAGTCGACAACAGCTATGTTGCAAGCATAATATTTATTTTCCTCTTTGTGGTACTCATTTAATAACGTCGAAAGAAAGAAAAAGGAGTGATCCGTCCTGAATTTGTTCCTGGACCTCTCCTTTTTGAGTCAAACACTTCCGACTGTGCGACCGCAGTCATAACTGAAACTGTTTTCGCATGATCTTTGATTTCCCTTACCAATTACCAGTTATTGATAACGGCACACCTTCTAGTTGCTTCGCATATTTATTGATGAGGGTGGCTGCTCCTCTCTTTCACAAACGGCATTTTCTACCTGGAAAAATCACAAATTCTAGAATAAATCAATACCCGATCAGGTTAAGCAGCACGGAAGTTGTTTGGCAACAATTAAAAGTTGTTTTTATTTTATAACGCGAGGGAGGTTATTCATTCGGTAAACCTTTATGCTTTCAGTCGATAGATCCTGGGTTTGAGCCTCGATCGGGTTGCTTGCCTTTCATCCTTCTGAGATAGTTGAGGGATTATGACTGTGCGGGAAACGAAATTGGAGACATCTGTGGACATTGCGTTCATATACGGTACTCTACTGATAACAGAAAGGGAAATTGGCATCGTGGCAAGCCTTATGAAAGAAGACCGCTACAAATGGTGCCTTATCAGGATAGTTTAATTGACTGATACCCCAGCCATTAGAAATATTTTTTTAAAGATATTTATTAGTATCTGTTTTGAAACAGATGCAGATTGGGTGAACTTCTGCCAGAGTTGGACTTGCGTGAACTGTAGTTATGCTTATATTGTCACGTTTGTCACAGCGGGCATCTTGACTTTCGGTCAGTCTTTTGCATGATTTGAATCTGATCGAATATCATCAGTGATCTCATAACATCTGTCACTTTCCGGCATCTCCCTGTTTTTCGTTGGACAGCTGCCAATAGCCATGATAACAATGACTTCGTGGTATTTAGTTAAAAGAAGGCGAAATTCTGCGCTTTATCGAAAATCGCCTTGTTGTAGTGACCTTATCTCTCAGCATGTGACTGATGACAGCCTAGCGACCCAACTGTAAACAAATTTTCATGTGATTCGCTGACGTGTAATCAAAAGATTACATGAACAGTGACAAGTATTTACTTGAAGGGCCAGCCTGAACCATTGATGAAGGTACTTCAATTCTCCCGCTGTTATCTGAATGAAGAAAAGGAATTTTGCTGGCTAGATGTTAGGACTCAGTTTCTGTTTTATTGTCACAGGGTAAGCTTTCTTTTGCAGAACTTAGGATGTTGCTCTGATCTTCATGTTGATGCTGCCAGCGAAATGCCCGTCATCATGCAAACAGTCGCACTGAAGCAGTCTATAGTGCAGATGTCTCGGTGTCATCATTTTGAACGATTGCATTGTGTTCAAGACCTAAGCTGACGGGTGGTGCTGGGTTCTCGCCTCTTCAAAAGTGTTTTGAAAAACTGGACCTGGATTGAAATGACAGATTCCACCAAGGTCTATATTTACTTCTGTGCTGTAAAGCTGATTTTATTGTTCTATCGACGAATTCTGTTAAAAGGGCACACAGACGCCAACTGATGAGTCTAAAA